CGACCAAAATTGAGTTAGTTACACTTGATGATCAATTTTTAAAAAAATTGCCATTTTTTTTGCACACCACTGTATATTATTTGATATTTAAAACGTCAAATTATTTATGCAAAGTGTAAAGTTAAAGTTAAAATAAAATATATTATTTTTAGAATATGCTGTGCTAAGATAGTGATACAAATCGCAACTACAATTGAAAATATCGGTTTTATGAAACCATCTAAAGATGTTTGAAATAGCTACGTTTATAAAAACGATTATTAATAACTATTCTAGGTTTTACAGTATTATGATAATTAATAAATGTAATGTTTGCCCGAGAAGGGGGTTATTTATGTATCATTAAATTATAATAAATAAAATTTTTTATCGAGAGTTTCTCGAAATTAATTTATAATAACTGATAAACAAATATAATTAAATACGCAGATTCTAAAGTAGCAGGACCACAAAAGAGCAGAACCACAAAAGAATATATATATTTTTTGTTTCCAGGAAGACACGATGTTGAGCGCTATAATAGATTTGAGTGACCTTCCGAGTAGTGTTCTAAGTAGTTACTTGAAAAATCGACCCAAGCCGGCTAGACGGCTAACTCGGTCGATTTTTATGACATACCTAATTTCTAAAGTTGAAATAATAAAAAAAATTTTTGAACGTTCGCTCCACTCCCCACAAATTTCGAATGTTTGCTCCCCCCCGGTGGTAAAAAATTTGAATGTTCGCTCCACCCCTAGTTGGTATTTTGAAATTATATCGACTAGTCGACTTGAGTCGAGTTAAATTGTTGACTAACCGTAGTAAATTTTTTGATCGACTTATATCACTAGCTATGTGTTTCATAATAATAAATAGAACAGAGTTTTCTATGATTAATTTTAATCGAAACCCGAGATCTAATTGTTAGTATATGTGTTATTTATTGATTCTATTATTATTATTGGAATACCGTGATACAAGAAATTTAATAATATGTAACAGATTTGATTTATATTAATATATTAAAAACGGCAGTTATAATTCTTTTTTATAAATTATACAAAATATTTAAGTTACACAATAAATGGTGATCGTCAAAGGATTTTAGGCTTGATGAACTATGGCTATGGAGAAAAAAACTTTATTTTTTATTCATGTACACTTACTACACTTACAGTAAAAAAATCACTGAATTTCTTTTTAATAATAGAGTAGAATATATAGTAGTACAATTTCTTTAGCCAGAGCTGGTACTGAAATTCAAAAAAAAGGAAATTGTAACATTCATTGTTGCAATTTCCCTTTTCGAAAAGATTTAAGATCACCACCATCATTCATTCATGTGAATTTTAAGTATAATTCTTGTTTTAGACGAAGCACGAACTCGAATTTTGCGCCAACCAACAAAATTCCAAAATCGCGATTTGCAAAATAATAATTCTCTAACATCAATTACTTATCATTTAAAGTAATATCAATAAATTCTTTTTTTCTGTTAGAATCTGCGTATAAAACATATTTATTTATTATAAATTAATTTCAATGTAAAAAAATGATTCAAAAAAAAGGTTCCTTCTCTTTGTTTTATCAATATTAATCTAGCTAACACAAATGATAATCAAAATACCTCTAATCCTTCGCTTAATATGGATCAAAACTTTCTCCACTTAACAACTTTCTGATCTTCATTAATATATGATGAATTAATGAACCAAGAAATGGATAAATTATTGGGTACAGTCCTTGTTAGGAAACAATAAAATCGGTATTTTAATTGTAGTCATGTTTAACTTATTTAACTTATTTAATTTTTTTGTGAGATAAATAAATAATAAAATAACATAAATAGAATAAATTAAACAATAAATATATTTATTAAAACAATAGTTCAAACCTGCAGGTAATACAAAAATAATCTGTTTATGCTATGCAGATATAATAACTACGTTTATAGACATTTTTAGAACTTTTTCAAAATATTCTTCTTTGCTTCTAATCACTTTCATAATCCTATAATAAATTTCAATTGTTCAATGACTTCAATGTGCCTATTTTTAAATTTTATATATACTGTTATTTTAACATATAAAAACTATGCCAAATATAAGTAATTTACTGCATATATCAAACCTATTCTAGTTATGTTAACAATTATAAATTGGTTACATAATAATTATTCCTAGATTTATATTTCTCCTATTTGTCAGGCAAACAATGACGTTCAAGCCAGGAATAAAGCATGAAACATGAATTCATTATTCCATGAGAGATTGTAATTTAATTCAAGTGCATAATTATCCGAAAACGTGGCTGAGCGAGCTAAGCTTTATTTCTTGAGCATTGGTTTTTGTCAATATTAAAAAATAATTGGGATTGGAAATGATAATTCCCTATGGCCGTTCACATATTTAATTTCTGTTGTTTTTCTAGTCAAATAAAAATTGAAGAATTAACAGCATCTCTATAGCAACAATAAATAACAATAAATGTCAATAAATGTATCTATCATATAGAACCTTACCTATTAGAATTGTTATTATATTGACTTTATAGAATAATAATCATATATTTTAAGAAGAAAGTAAAAGAAATGTAACAATTAGAACATAGATAATATATAAAATCTTTTGTAATATCATTACCTAAATGTAATTTGTTCCATAATATTTAAACATATGTATTTGTATATAATTTATCTGAAAATTAGCAATATCTAAAGTTACGTTTTTACTAAAGAAAATAAATAAATTTTTATAATCAAAAGAAATATTATTTATTTTATTTCTTTGATTTAAGAATCATACTAAAATAAAGTAAATTATTCTAACATTTTTATTGTGAGGATAAAGATGATATAAAAAGTGATAATTAATTTATATTTATATCACACGAGTTTACAGTTATTTTTAATTATTGATCATACAAATAAAACATTATGGGGTGGCGAGATTTTTAAAAAAAAATTTTTTTCCAAAATGGAATGACATACAAGATAAAAGAAACCAGAAAAATTATACGAAAAACTTTATATGGAAACCTATATTATTCAAATCAATTCCTTTTCGCAATCATTCTATGGTGATCATTTAGAATGGTAATGTCAACGGATAAACAGCAAATTTCATTCTTTATAATAAATCATTTTTTTTTTTTAGAATTTTTGGGGGAGTCAAGATTAACAGATTAACAGTTAAAGGGTCCATAGCCATAGTTTCAAGTCGTTAAATCAAGCCTAAAGTTATGAGATGTACTTTGCGGTATGATCAATTTGTTCCTTTGATGATCACCATATGTAGTAAAGGATAATTTTCAAGGATTTTCGTGCTGCATTTTTTTTTTATTGTTAAAAAAAAATGGATTCGTGATCAATTATTCGTATATTACATTGTTCCATGACATCATTTGTTTGTATGCTTGCCTATTTTGTTCAGTAGGCTAAAAGTTATAATAAAATTTATTTTTAAATTATTATTAAAGGTCTGAGAATATAGATTTTAAATGTGATCAATTAAATATGAGAGGATTTTATTATAAATCATAATACGTATAACATATTTGGAAAGAAAATAAATACATTTTGTAATCAAAAGAAACATATTTGATAATGTGTAAATCAGACACCAAATTCGTAAAGCAGTGAGTATAAAAGTTTTGCAAAATGTAAATCGTATAATTAAAATGATAACGATAAAGATAAATCAGAAAAATAATTTGTGATCTACATTTGCATTCAATAGTAGGTGATCTGATTTGAGTGGTATCGGGGTTCATATTCGAAAAGCCTTTGTTCAATATTCAGAGGACCAGAGCAAGTAATATTTTGGTCCATATAAGTAGTCAGTGTATGGAAATTTTGACCCATATTCACAGATTGTTGTCTAGAATAAATAGTACTGAGGGAATTTGAAGGTGAAGAATTATAAAAAGAAGTGCCTTGATTTATATCTTTAAACGGATTTTGGTCCATATGAGGATTGGTTTGCTGACAGTAGTAAATGTTTGTATTATTATGGTAAATAGTGTCCAAAGTGTTTTGATCTATATTCAGAGAATTTTGGACCATAGGAGTGATGTCTGAAGAGTTCTGGTTTATATTAAGTGGATAATTATGGCGGATGATGTTTGGTGAGTTCAGGTCTCAGGAGGATTGGTTGTACCATCCAGATTGCTGTGGATAAAACAAAGAGAAGCTTTTTTTTTAAACTCTTTTTTCACATTTCCTGCCATACGTTTATAACGGTCTTTTATTTCGGTTGATTCATTTTTCCACAATCTACTTGCTAATTTTGAAACACGAATCCTTGAAAGGTTAGGATTTTGAAGCGCACAATTTTTTCTATAAATCATAAATGCGTTCATAGTTCGATTGACATTTTTAAGTTTATTTTTTAAATGCATTTCTATAATTTCATCCACACTTATTGATATATCTGACATATTTGAATTAAGTTATAATAAATAAATTTTCTATAAGATGAGGTTCTTTTCGAAATTAATTTATAATAAATAAATGTGTTGTTGTTACTTTAATGCGCAGGTTCTTAGAGAGCGAAAGATAAGAGTAAAAATATTATCGATTTGTATCAATAAAGTTAAATAGACTTCAAAAATTGATGTTTTTATGTGCAATCAAATCAAGAAAAAGAGTCGATGTTAGAAATTAGCGATTTTGTTTTTTTATTTGGCTATGGTATACAGTGTTAAGTCTTTAAATACTTTTTGAAAAGATGTTAATTGTAAGAAAATTATCAATTCTTGTTTTAGAAAATTCAATGTATGGTAAATTCACGTGTTCTAGATAACGAACTTCACTGTATGCCATTCGTCATGATTTATAAAATAATAATTCTCTAACATCAATTATATATGACTACGGATGATATGATATTATGATATTATGAACCAATCATTTATAAAATCCAATTATTTATTAATTCACTACAGTACATACTAAGCCCTTGTTGGAAAAATACGTATTTTCAATTACAGACGTTTAAACTTATGTTTATTGGAATTAACTTGATAACCTTTTTTGAGAGATATAATAAGGAAAGTTATAAATGGAATAATTAACCAATTTTATGGAACTTGGACATCAAATATGGCTCCATTCAAATTATGTTTATGTCACGTTATGTGATATTTTAAGATTATTGGCCAATTCCCAATTATGATATTAGTAAACGAAACTTGAATTATATATATTGTTTTAATCCATCCATGTCTGTCCATAATATAAAATTTTACTAAAATATGAACTTTTTAAATCTACTCAAAGCTTATAGTAGAGAAATAATAATTGATAAGTTGATTATTTTAACCATTTAAACTATAGTTTATTACTTTTCTTTTGTTTTATATTTATACAAATGTTCTGAAAAATACTGAATAAATATATTTACTGATTCTTAACTAATTCTTTATTGATTCCTCAACCCGATTAGGAATCAATTGGTAACAGATTTCAAAGTAATAAAAAGGGTTGAAAATTGTTATTCACAAAAGTTTTGCACAAGAAGATTCATCTACATTATTTGTATATCAAAAATTATTTCTTATTTTATGTGACAAAATCGAATTGAGTCACATATAAAATAAACAAGGATTCAACACTCCGTAAAACTATATAATTATAAAACGGATTAAAATTTTTCCTATTAAAAATTCCCTTTTTTCAAAAAATAATTTTAGACCAAAAACATTCTTTTTCAAGTTTATTTTTTTTTTTTCGCTTATAATCAATTTCATAATCCAATTGTTCATTGACTTCAATGTCAATATTTTAAATTTTTATATACGCCGTTATTTTAACATATATCAAACTCTTAATATTTATGCTAATTATGTTGTTTTTAAGATTAGCATGATAATTATTCCTAGACTTATATTTATTTACCTATTTACCCCATTTGTCAGGCAAACAATGATTTTGTTCTACATAATGAGTGCATGAATCCATTATTCCATTAGAGATTATAACTTTAATTCAAGTGCATAATTATCCGAAAATGTGGCTGAGCCATGCTTTATTTCTTGGGAATTCGTCTGGTCGATATTAAAAATAATCTAACGACTTTTATGGTCGTTCATATATTTAATTTCTGCTGTTTCTAGTCGACTAAAAATTAGCAATAATAAATGTCAATAAATACAATTATCATATAGCAATATATTAATACCTTACCTAGTATTAACTTTATAGAGTTTATTATTTATTATATAAATTACATATCTTAAAAAAGAAAAAGAAAATATAAATGTAATAATTAGAATATGCATTATAATAGATAATATAAAACAATTAATATATAAAATCTTTTGTAGTATCATTATTTAAATGTAATTTTGACTCATAATATTTAAACATCTGTATACAGTATATCTAAAATTAGCAATATCCAAAGTTAAGTTTTTACTAAAGAAATTAAATACATTTTGTAATCAAAAGAAACATTATTTACTCTATTCTTTAACTAAATAATTATTTATTTTAGACATACAGTCAATGTGGTCCCTATAACGTCCTGAATTTACATATTAAATAGTACAAAAAAATTTTTTTCATTATAATTTTCGTTATAATATCAACAAGGAAGTGATTTCGATGTAATGAATTATACATACCAAATTTTTTTTTTTTGCAGATTAATGAATTTTCTTTTAGAAAAAAGTTCCAATTAGAATGGGCGCTAAATTCATATAAAATTCTTGACCATATTACAACTGTTAATATATTGATAAGAAATCAAGTAAAATTTTGAAAGTATTTTCTTTTTTTTTAAACGTAGATTATAGGAATTTATTATTTAATCTTATTAAAGTTAAATTAAACTTACTAAATTAAAGCCCTCTTGTATTATTCATAACTCTTTTGTGATTTACACTGTTGGTTGTTATACCATTCAACTTGTAAAACCTGAACTTACATATCGAACATCGTTATTATCTGAACTCTTATACTTGTTGGCTAATTAATATTTCTCCCTTTATTTTTTTTTTTTTTAAAAAAAAAAAATAATAATAATGAAAGAACAATTATTATCAACGAAAGGAGAGAAGAAGGAGCGGAAGTAATAAATAAAAAAAAAAAATCTAAAAAAGGCATAGAACAACGAGACATCTTTATAACTGAATTAATAGACTGTGGGGTATAGGGGGTTCTACAAACCGAATATTATAACCATTGCAAGTTTTGTATTAATTGTGTAGTAACTTTATTAAGGTTATGCATTAAAATTTATCAGATATTTTTTTTTTTAAAAAAAAATAATATTCAGCGTCCCACATATCTGGAATATGCATATAAAAATCATTATTTGTAGTATTTATTGTTAATATCCACATTTAGTAATTTTATCTTAAGTGATTATCTTATCTATGCATGCATTGTGGAAAAATATGTAAATATTTTCAGATTTTTTTTTTTTCGTTCAATAGTGTAATAAAAATAAATAATAATGATAAATAAGTATAAAGGATATTTTGGATATTAAAATTTTCAAAAAATAACCATTATGAACAAAGAAATAAATAAATTTCGTATAGTAACTGCGAAATGGATTTATTATTGTATATATTGATATAAAATAAAGAGATAAAATGCAAATAATTTTTTTTCAGAGAAGTTTTGGATTATTAAATCATCAGGAAAATTAATAAGCCGTAATATTACGGCCTATATGAAAGAATGTATTTTAGTTTTGTGCACAGATTTTAGGAATTTAATATTTAATCCTAATAATTTAGCTCCTCATATTTGTATATTATTTAATTAATTAAATACGTAGATTAGTTAATAGTTTTTTTTGTGCAAAATTATTTGTCATAAATGGTATAGTTCATGTGCATATACCCATATTTGGAAAGATAATAAACAAATTGCTACCTATTTTAAACCACTACAAAATTTCTTAATAACTAATATTTTAATATACTTAAACATTACATAAAGTTTATCTTCATTAATTGTATTGAGTCATACGCATAATCATTTTCGGCAATGAAGACTTCGCATCCAAAAAAATATCTAGTTATATTAAAAATAATTTGTTTACTGTTGAATTAAAAAAATACAATAAATACATTTAAAGGCCATCAATGAAAATAATGATAAATAATGTGATTATTGTTTTGTTTTAAAAATGGATAAATCAATAATTAGAAAACCTTATTATTTAATAAAGATATATATAAAAAAATATTTATCTCGTGAATTCGGGAACTTTTTTATTGAAAATAATTTTCCCTTATTGCCAAAAATGGAATACCATTTAAAGATAAAAAAGTGAACAGCGACACAAGAGATAAATTACATTCTTTTTTTTTTTCTACGGAAAATCGCTCCTTTTTTTGGGAGAAAGAACAAAACCAAAAAGTAAAATTAAATTTATTACGGTGAGCTTTAGCAATTACCCCCCAAAAAAGAATAAATCCTTTATTTTTTTTTCACGTCGCGTTGGAGATTAAAAGGTTCATAGCCATAACATAATGTCAAGTCGCTGCATCATATCCTAAAAGTTATGAGAAGCAGAAGCGGTATGATCAATTTGTTCCTTTGACGATCACCATATGTAGTACGATTTTCAGGGATTTTCGTGTTTTTTTTTTTTATTTTATTTTATGCGCTTGTACAAAAACAAACCATATACTGTATCTGAAAATTAACAATATCCAAAGTTACGTTTTTATTAAATTAAAAAGAAACTTTATTATATTTATATGCAATAATACTGTTAATGAAATATTTAATGTGGTTTAATAAATATTAAATAGTACCAAATTTTCTCTAGTCAATATTTTAACCAAGTTTTAAATTATTTTTCTTTATAATCTGGAGAGTAGACCATATTCACAGAGTAATAAACATCACCGTTATAGAAAGGAGTGCCTTCGTTGAAAATTTCTGGTGAGTTAAGGGGGTGGTAGTTGTAGTTGTAAGTGTCTTCAATCATATCGAAGGAAATTCCTTGATTCATATCGAAGCCATTGGAGTTTGTAGGATTAAAGTTCGAAGTGGTTTGGCCTATATTCGGAGAATTTTGGACCATTGAAGAGTCCTGATTATTATGGCGACTAGTGTTTGGATTTAGGTCCACAGGAGGGTTTGTTTCATCATTCGTACCAGCCAGATTGCTGTGAATAAAACACAGAGAAGTAACTTTTTTTCTAAACTCTCTTTTTACTTTTTTTGCCATACGTTTATAACTGTCTTTGATTTCGTTCGATTCATTTTTCCATGATTCACTTGCTAATTCTGATAAATAGTTCCTTGAAAGGTTAGGATTTTGGAGTGCACAATTTTTTTGATAACAAAGGCGATAAATTATGAATGCATTCGATGTGAAATTAACATTTTTAAGTCCTTTGTTTAAATGAATTTCTACAATTTCACGTACAATTTCATCTTCATTTGCTGACATATTTAATTAAGTTTTATATAGAAGGTTCTTATCGAAATTAATTTATAAACTTAATTAAATATGTTTTGGATACTCTGGTTCTAGGAGAAATTAAAAATTAAAATAAATTTAATTAAAAAAAAATTAAATAAAAATCATTTCTTACTTAATAAAAAAATACCGAAAATCGCATAAACGTAAACGTATCAATTTTTGAGATTCTAAGTCTTTAAATAAATTTTAACTGTATACCAAATTTGCTTGTTCATCCAATACTCAATTAAGAAAATCCTATGAATGTATGATAAATTTTTTGTGTTAAAAAACGAGGCGTTTATTACTAAAGTAATAAGGCTTGAACTTTAAAAAAAAATACAGGTGTTTGAGAGAATGTCACACATGTTTGTTAACTCATTGTGTTTTGCATAATGTGAGAAATATGCTTTGCTTTTTATATACACATATATAATTAATTTACTGCTCATAGCATACATGTACAGCACAAAGTGTATTCTTAGCTTCACTTAAAAAACCTTAAAAAACGGAAGATCAGATTAAAATTTATTTTCATTTTTATTTTTGGAGTGAGTTATCTGAATATGAAGATTTTCATTTTGGTTTTTAAAAACTGCCTTTTAACTGTGGAAGCTAATGCAGTGAACCTATATTTCTCCTTTTGTTAAAAACTAAATACTAATTACACTATTTTATCATGATAATCGTGATAAGATCTATTATATCTATATATTTATCATATGAATTAGTTAGCTCCAAATTAAGTAAATTAAATTCTTGTTTTAGAGAAAATTCCCGATTACAAATAAAAATCGCAATTTCAAAATAATATTCTATGATAATGAATTTATCTTTCTGCATTAATTTATAAGGCAATCTCCTATCATTGCATCATTGCAATATATATATTAAGGTAAGATATTGGGGTACAATCCTTGTAATATTAGCTTATCAATTATTTAACTTTTCGTGAGAATAAATAATTTGGCGTTTAAATAATAATAAATATAATTAGGGAAAGACGAGCAAATAGATAAATATAAACAAATAAATATATTTATTAAAAACTTTATTAAACAAATTTTAAATTAATTATATAAATAACTAATGGATTAAAATTTTGCCTATTAAGATTTCCTTTTTTCAAAATATTTTCTGGACTATTTGTTTGTTTGTTTTTTTTACTTTCATAATACTAGAATATATATCAATTGTTCAATGACTTCAATTATAACTGACGACTTCTCGTTCAACCAAACGTTACTTCACATAAAAAACTTAAGAAAAGTAAAGAAATATTTATTTTGGGATAATTTTATTCTTCAACCCTGGGTGAGATGTCACCTCTATATGTATTACTTTCATATGATTACGAAATTAGGTGATTACAAGGTGTTCATATGGGCAAATATGTGTGATGCTCATGGCAAAAATCTAAATAGGGAAATAAAAATTGCAGATCAGTTTCCTTTTTTAGATTTTTGCCCATATGTAAATATTTTTTAATCCTAAAAAACCAAGTCGAAAACCCAGGTAAGGGATAACTTCTCTTTTTTTAATGTATTTAAAAAAAATAAAGAAAGTAAAATTTATATATCTAATTATAAATGATATAAAGGCAAAATGTGACAAGGGTGGGATAACCTAATATTGTACTTTCAGATTGGATGTACTTATCGTCGTCAACCTGGTAGAACCTCAATTTTATTAATCAAATTTTTCTTCAAAATAATTGTAAAATAATGATAATAATATTAACCTTTAACCCTTCCAATCTTTCCCACCGCTATCATTAACACCATCACCAATAATAATACACTTACATTCGACGTAGAAAATCTCAACTTTTAAATATAATAAGAATAATAAGAATAGCAATACAATAACAAAACAAATACAAATAAGAATAATACCGTTAATAATTCTTCAAGAATTATTATTCCGCAACAAGTTTTTATAATAATACTAATGATGATGTTCGTCAGAAAACTCAAAATTATTTACCTCCAGTTCAACAACAGGAAGAAACATTGACATCATCTCATAGATTATATTCCTTGGATGAATAGCTTGTTGACAGAAATTTTCATCCACTTTTACCAGTGCCGCATAAAGGAAGATTTAGGGATCCGGTACAGACCGAATTAAAAATTACGAGATATTATGTCGAATATGAATACAGTATGTACTAGTTCAAAATCAAAATTCTAATTATTCGGCGCACCCCCTTTAGAAAATTTGGAAGAATGATTAGAAAAGCGGAAAGTAATGAAGAAATAAAACCTTCAACAATGAAAAACAGTTGAAAATTTAAGGATATTCTTTATAATGATACATTAAACAAGAATAATCCAAGAATATTATTCATATTATATTAATAGAAATCAATTTGTGTTTCTTATATTAAATTATATAAATTAATGAAATATTTAAAAGCATAATTTCAAAGGCATCATTACATTTAAGGATAAAAAAATTTGATAACGTTATTAATTTCACAATTGGAATCATTAATAGTGGAAGAAAGTAAATAAAATTGCCATAAGAATGGAATTTACGGAATTAATGAAATTAATGATTTTTAATAGAATTAATGAAATTTGTAATACAACTCAACTATTAGTTAATAATAATACAACAATAAACAGTGGAATCATACAATCAAGAATGTAATCAATAATACAATTTATAATAATAAAGATTAGTCTCAACAAGGTAATCACGTCATCGATATCATGAGGTGAAACGCCAAATACTACATCTTTACACTACACTCCATCATATATTTCTCACATATATCAATATTAACATTCACATCCACATCCACATCCACAACAACATCCTCAACGCTTTCGACACCAATAATAACAAAGACAATATAATTTACAAATAATAATGATAATATTAGAATAGGCGTTGATCGTGTTGTTAATTCTGAAAGTTCAAGAAATGAATTGATAGTGTGCAAATGAATAATTGTACAATATTATAAACTTTATTTGTAATTTATACGATTCTTTTATTCAAATCCCTTTTTTTTCTTAATAATCAAAATTGTTAATTTGTAATCAATTTGTTATCAAATTTTCTATCAATTTGTATTCGATTACAAGGAAAAAGAAAAATTTCTTTGACTGTTGTATATATGCAATTCTTTGCAAAAACAATTAACGCAATAATTATTATGCAAGACGAGAAGTATCATGTGATAAAAACTACTGAAAAAAGTAGACTCAAAAAACATTGCATCATGAAAATATTTCTTTTTACATGATTGTACATAAGAATTGTCGGAATTGTTGTTCTCACCAAATTGTTGTTACTGTACCTTCGCAATTGTGGATTTATTGAAATTTTCGATATTCTAATATACAGTATCATACTTATTATGTACAATATATTTTGGCACATATAATAGTAATTATAAATTATGTCATTTAATTGTGGCGTTGAATGCAATAGCGTGTAAAAATAAAGATATAAATAACTTCAAATAATTATCTCTACACCTTGTTTCATTAACAAATTTGGAGCAAGCAATCGAGTTAACCATAATTCTCAACTAATTATATCTAATAATTTTGAGAACAATCTCTGACAATGGACTTATAAAGAAATATGACAATTTGACTTAGAACACTACCCGCAACAAAAAATTGAGATATAATGTATATTTCTTATTTTAAGAAAATCAAATTTTTTCCTACGCATATTTTCATTAAAGTTTACCACGAAAAATAGGATTAGGAAAAGCGATTTAAATTCAACTGATTTAGTTTTCTAAGTCGAAAGACTTTGTCAGCAGATTTTTTGAGAATCAGCTAAGAAAACAAATTCTTCGCAGTCTTAAATATGTGTGTATATATTGTTTCATTTTTATTTATCATTTAATTAATTAACTCATTTTTAAATATTGTTTATTTTGACATCTCGGATATATGTTTTTTGTAATTGTATAATTATATAGCATTCGAGTAAATTATATGCTGTATTTGATTTAATGGTGACGTTTTTTTTTATTAATAAATAAAAAAGGTATTGCTAAATATCACCGCAGATGACTGTTACCACTAAAATTTCATAATTCCTTGATCTTAACTTTCTAACTTTGCCCACGTAAATTTAATTTTGCCCAGGGGTGACAATCACCTATTTAAGGTTAAAAAACAAATTTAGTTAATAGTCACGTAAATCATTTATATTTTTGACTTTTGTTTTTATACTTTATAATACAAAAATGTGGGGAAAAAAAATTTTTTTATTTTTATATTAAAAAGAAAAATTTTGCGTTTTTAAATATATTCTTGGGTTTTGTTTTTTTTAACGCACCCGCGTTTTGGCGATGGGGTTTATTGGTGACATAATGGGTGACAAATGTGGTTTTCCCAAGGATTTATAATAAAAATTGATATTCAACAGATGTGACACATGGTGACAAAATTTTTACCCTGAACTAACCCTAACCATTGTATTTAGTCATATGATAAAAATTTATGAAATTTAACCAATAAAGTAGCAAATACTCTTGCATATGCTTTCATCATTATATAACGTAACGAATATACAATATATTACCTGTTACTATAATATTTTCTATGCAAGATCGGAAAAACCGAAAAATAAGTTATTTATTAATTTATTTTTTATTTATTTATTTATCGTGTATATAAATAGTAATTTAGAGAAAATCTTTATTTTTTTATTGGTTAAAAATAAATAAAATATTCATATATATAAAATTTACATTACAATATAAATAATTAAGTTCTTTTACATTATACGTTAGTTATTGTCTAAATCATTTTTCTTTTTTCAAATTATTTTGGACAATCTTGCTTTCAAATCATTCAAACATTCTTTTTTAATTTATTTCATGCATTTAAATGAAATCGGAAAGGAAAAACAAGATTGTTATTTAGTCAGTTTCAATAAATGTATGATAACTTTAAATACGCATTGAAGCGTGACTCCGATGGAAAAAAAATTTTTAAATGAAACACTAAATAGGGGATAAATAATTTGCTTATTTATAGTATATTAGATAGAACATAAATTAATTTCAACTTTTACTAATCCTGTTTTTCGTGGCAAACCTTAATGAAGGAATTTGCTTAAAATAAGAAATATACATTATACATTCAATTTTTACAATTTGGTTTGGAGAACCATTAAATTCTAGAATATATGTACAATATAAAATATGAATTTTTCATATTTGACTTCATACATACATACTGTTTATGAGTCAGGTTAAGTTAAAAATGGTAATAATTAAGAATTGTGAATAAGTAGTTGCTTTATAAATTCTCTAGAAAGACATTCATGGGTTGAGTTCATCATCAAAGATCATTTTTAGATACATAATTATAGACCACCGACAAAGAAATTAAAATTGATGGCATCCAGAGAGAATTGTTCCTTAGAAGGTTTCTAGAGATATGTTATTATTATTTGTGCAAACTTGATTGCTTGTTCAAATTTGTTAATGAAGCAAGAGTAGGGACGGTTTCTTTAAAGCATTCTTATTACCTCTTTAGGTAATAGTCTTTTCCAAGATTCACTTGTAACTTTTTAAATCTTTTTCCATTTTATGTTATAAAGGATTTGTAAATTTTATAATTTTTATAAAGTTTACAGTTTGTTACTGACAAGATAGGACAAAGAACCTCAAAACAACACCATCTTATAAATATAGTTCTAAATAAAAATAATGAATTTTAAATTTCTTTAGTAGTACAGATACGTCGATCGATGAAACTATTTTTCATCATTCATAATACGTACTCGGCTTTTTAAGATTTGTAAGTCTCACGTGCATGTAATCTATTTGTTTTATAATAAATTAATTAGTATCTAGATTCAATAAAAGGAGAAATATATTCAAAAACTAAAGTGAAAGTATTCAAATTCAGATATCCACTTCAAAAAATTAAAATGTCAGAAATAAAATTATTTATTTTAATCCGCTTTTTGGATGAAGCAAAGGCTCCAATATTGATAGGTTCATCGAAGTTTTTACTGCGAAGCTTATACTTTTATAATAAGATTAACATATATAGTATATCTGACAATTGTTGCATCATAGAAATTTTAAATCGATTGTTACAAATTAAATTGTTTGTACGTACCAATGCTATTATAGTAATAATCTTTATAAAGATAAGATATATAATGAACAAACATTTTTATTGGGCTCCTAAAACTTTTATTCATTTCAAAACTCCAAAGAGTGCAGCCATACACTCCAACAACATATTTGTTTATATAACACATTAAATTAACAAAACAACACATTTTTTTTTTAATTTTAACGGAGTCATCCCTGAAATAAACTTTCATTGATTAATTAGATACTGTCACATAATAACGTAACGAATCCTACATTTATTCAATTCATTTAGCTTATTTATATTTTTTATTTCTATTCTCAGTTGTAAATATTAATCCCTTATTATAAAATATTTGTGATATTTATAACGTTAGGTGAATTTATACTTGTTATTCCGTGAATACGAAGTATTCACGGGATACATATCTATTGAATAACTAGTTTATCCATCGGTATGACGTATATACCAGAGTGACCACTTAATTCGTCATATTTTGTTATTAGATATTGCTGATTATTCATATATTAATTCTGATGTTATAAATTTTTTAGAAGTTCTTTCTTTCAAAATATAATATTATAAAATAATAATAATAAATAATAAAAGAGATAACAATAGGTAATAAATTAATATAATGAGCATTTTAGATATTAAATTTTCAAATAATAATAACATTATTAACAACGTCGTGAATAGAGATAAATAAATTTATAATTAATATATTGATATAAAGATTTTAGGAACTTAATATTAATCCTAATAAGTTTATTTCCTATAATTATAAATTTAGAAACTTTACTTGATATAAAATTCCCCATATTGCATATATTTTTGAATGATATATTATACATAAAGTATATTTTTTTTTAAAAAAAAAAATAAAAAATTTTTAATCAATATGTACTCTGGAACTGATACCTATTTTAAACACCATAAAGTTTACCACAATATAATCTTTATTTAATTGTATTTGAGCCATATGTACTGTATAATCATCTTCGGCAGTAAAGACTCCGCATCCAAAAATATCTATTATATTAAAAATAATTTACTGTTAGTGTAAAATATTTTCGTTAAGAATGATTACCGTTGAATTAAAAAATGAATAAACAAATATAATAAATGCATTTAAAAAGCATCGAAAAACAAGAAATTGATAAATAATGTAATTATTAAAAATAAAAAAAAATGGATTTATACTATTTTTTTTAAAAAAAATGAATAAATTATAATTAAAAAAAAATTTATCTCGTGATTTTAATTCGGAAACTTTTTATTGAGTGATATCCGTCACCCATTTTTAAATAACTGTGCACTCGCGTGATATAAATATCACTTGAGTGATGCAATACAAAATAAGATTCTATGGGATCGTTTAGACTGCATTTAATCAGAGATAAAATTGCCCTAAAAATAAATAATTTTATTTTTTTTTGCGTTGAAAATTTTTTGGTAAATCGACTTAAAAGTCGCCTAAAAGTTATGATCAATTTGTTCCTTCGACGATCAGAGATTTTCCTGTATTTTTTTTTGTTGGGTTCTTTAAAAAATTTCGAATTCGGATTTATTATATTTAAACATCATATACTGTGTATGTCTAAAAGTTACGTTTTTATTAAAGAAAATTTTGCAATCAAAAGAATCATTATTTATTCTTATTTTCTTTAAGAATAATACTAAAATAAAGTAAATTATTATATGTCATTATTTTAAGTGAATAAATTTTAAGATTTTTTTACGTTATACCAAATTTTTTTTGCAGGATTAATTAATTTTTTTTAGACACCAAATTCGTTACGGAGTGAATAATAAAGTTTCGCAAAATGTAATCGTACAATTGATATGATAAGCTAAAAACAATATTAGAAAGATACTTCATTAAGTGATTATTTTCAATAGTAGTTGGTGTCAATAGGATTTGGAAGTAAAAGGTGGGGTTGATCCATGGTTAGTATTCGAAAGTCCGTATTTACAGCGACCGAAGTGGTTTGTTCTATATTCAGAGGACTAGAGTAAGTGACATTTTGGCCCATATATAAGTAGTCAGTGTATAGAGAATATGCATATGAAGTGCTTGAAAGTGGATAATTATAATAGATGTCTGGAGAGATTTGGTCCATTTGAGGATAGGTTTGCTGACTGGGGTAAATGTTCGGGTCTATATTCGGGGAACCAGGGCAAGTAATGTCTGGAGAATTTTGGTCAATAGGAGGATTTAAGTAGATAATATCTGGTACAATTTGATCGCTAGGAGAATTAATGCAGTTGGTTGTACTTGAAGAGGTCGGAAAGTTTAACTCATTATCACTTTTACCAGCTAGATTGCTGTGGATAAAACAAAGAGAATTGACTGTTTTTTTAAACCTTTTTTTGACGTTCTCTGCAATACGTTTATAAAGGTTTTTGATTTCGTCTGATTCCCTTTTCCACGATTCACTTGCTAATTTTGATACATCATTCCTTGAAGGTTTAGAATCTTGGAACGAACAATTTTTTTGGTAACAATAACGATAAATCATAAATGCGTTCATAGTTCGATTGCCATTTTTAAGTCCATTTTTTATATGTATTTCTGTAATTTCACTGACAATTTTATCTTCACTTGTTGACATTTAATTAAGTTATATTATAACTTAAATAAATATGTTTTTGAAACTTTAATACACAGGTTCTAAGAGAAGAAAAGCCAATATGTAGTAGAAAAATTAAATCAAAATTTCATTAAAAAAATATATATATTTCTTACCTTGATATATTCGATTTAGTATCAATAAATTTGTTAGACTTTCAAAATATATGTTTTTACGTGCAATCAGATCAAGAAAAAGAATATTTTTTAATGTTGTTTAGAGAATTATTTGTAGATCATAAAATTTGAATAGCATACAGTATAAGTCATCTTTAAATACTTTTTGAAAAGAATTGACTCATCCGTAATATTTTAATCACTCAAATTAAGAAAATTGTGAAAATTGTATAATCTGCCATGTGAATTAACCATATGATATGATTATTCTAATTAATAATTCACTGTGTACGAAAAAAGTTTAGTGTGGTTTGGTCTAAAAATATAATTACTGAAGACCCGTGTGTTGATTATTGACCTGATTACGTGTTGTGGTAGTGGAAGCATCAGAAAAATTAATAACCGTAATATTAGTAATACTCGACAATAAAAATTGTATCATTTTAAAACCTATTAACATCTTAAAAAGGAAAAGTAAACATGCTCTATCAAACTACCAGTCAGATTTTTTAATTAAAATCATAAAAATTGTCTAGTATAGACTTCCGGCACTATACCATATTTATTTAATCATTAGCTTCAAATTAAGTAAATTGAATATAATAATTCTTGTTTTGGCAAACTTAAGGATTAAACACCGAGTGCCATTCGAACTTTTGCCAAATAAAAATCGCGTATTTATTATTACTATATAGTTTGGAATTAAAATATATAGTTTTAAGAAATTGATTTTTTTTCAGCGTACCGGACTTTTTACAAAATAAAAATGCTCAATTAATATACTTAACATGATTATATTGTAACAATTTATACTTACTTATAGATGAAGTATAGATTCCAGACTATGAGAAAATACATATAAATTTGTCCCTGATTTTATTATGAAAAATAGTGCCGATCTTTCACGGATCAGGACTTATGTATTCAAAGAATGTACTGTACAATACAATGTCATATTGCTATTATTTATTATTTATTATTTGATTTTATTTTTCATGTAATTTAGTACAATTTTTACTATTATGAGGTCGCATCGATCTATTATTTATTATTTATTTATTATTTGTTATTTATTATTTATTTAATCCTCGTTTATTATTTATTATTTTCATATGAAGTAAATAAAAATGATCATCATCCGTTTTATTATAAGGATCTGGACTGGTCTGGTCCTGGTTCTGGACCACTAGTCTTTACATACTTTATATTTATGTATATCCCAGCTGATTAGGGAAAAGGTAAGTATGTTATTTTATTTTATATAAGCCTGTCAATTCCAAGTATTTTTTTTTTTAATAATTATTATTAATTAAATCTTCAATAATACGATCACATGATATATATATAGGACCTGGTCCTGATCGTCTTCTAAGGGGTTCGGACTTAACATGCCGCCCAAATTCAAAAAAAAAGCAATAGGATTAACAAAATTTTATTGTTAATATTTCCTTTTTGAATTTAGGCAGGATGTAGGGTCCGGACTCATCCCTAATAACAGATTCATTGTTTATAAATAAATTAAATTTAAAAAAGTTATGACGTTCTTGCAAACTAGAAACTTTACTAGAAAATTTCTTTGTATTTAATCCCTCGATTTCTTATTAAAAATAATCTTTTTAATGAAAATTTGAATGATTGATGATTAAAAATTCCAAAAATATAATTTAGTCATATAAAACATCATAAATTATATGACGTGCTTAATGACATAACTTTGAAGATGACATACGTCTGCACCTATACTCTAGATCTAGAAAATATTTTTTATATATGGCTTCATAGTTTAGAATTTATAGCAAGTTTATCGTTAATAAACAATTAGTAATAATATAATTAGAGGGATTTATTGGAATAGCTAGAAAAGTTCACGTTTAATAACAAAAAAGAGTTTAGAAAATCATATTAATAAAATATAAAATGTTAGGATATTTTATTTTTTATGATTTATGTATATAAATTAATAAAATTATTTAAAAATTTATACAAATTCTAGTAAATATAAAAAATTGTGCTTTTTAAAATAATATATCCAAAAGACAAGTTTAATATCTAAAATATCCATTTCATTTACGTTATTATTTATTATTGTTTTTTATTATATTATTACTATTCATAGTATTAGAAGAGATAAATATTTGAAGGTATTTATATCATTATAAATTAATATATGTTGTCGTTTGTTTCCATCACCTCTACAAATAGCCTCATTCCATTCCCCACAGGTTTGACGTTTTTTTTAATAAAATATATTTAATAGGTTTTTCTAGCGCAATACTAAATCATCAGAAAAATGATCATTATCCAGAAAACAAATTATTGCTTACATTTTGTTTCAATCTAAGTTAATAGATAAAAAAATAAAATAAGAAATGCATTCTAACAATATATATAGCAGACTATAACCATATGTATAAAACCAAATTAACGTTGATCTGGGAATTGTAATTTTGTCTACCTGGTAATCCCCCAGTGAAAATTAACAACACTTTTAAATTACAAAGTAATTATAAAAATCATAAAAATTGCAAATCCCTAAATTCTAATATATAACGTTATACACATCGCAAGGCTACATATTAAAAGGAAAATATTATCAAGTGATTAATATTTTTCGGTTAATTCATTCGAAGTTTCATTAACATTTTTGATACCATTTTTAAGACAGATATCTAAAGAGGTTAAAGAATGCTTTAAAGAAATCGTTCCTACCCCCTTGTTTCATTAATGAATTTGGAACAAGAAATCAAGTTGGCATAAATGACATTAACATATCTCTAGAAATCAATCCTCCTATGAACCAAATTTCTTTATTTTAATCCCTACCTTCAAATCTGCTTCAATATCCAGTAGGCATAATTCTCAACCAATTGTATCTGATAATTTTAAGAGTGATCTTTGACAATGGATGATGAAATGTCTTTCTGGAGAATTTATAAAGCAATTACCAATCGTATCTTCAGTTTAAATTTTTATATACATTTTAATTTTTATAAAACCTGAATTCATATGTATGAAAATAAATATGGAAAATATTTTGAATGTCTAATTTAATGATTCAGCGACTAATGACAATTTGACTTGAACACTATACGTAACATAACAAAAATTGAGATGTATGTTTCTCATTTTAAGCAATTTAAAACTTTTTTCCTACTATAGGTTTTCATTGAAGTTTACCACGAAAGACAGGATTAGGAAAAGTCGAAATGCATGCCGAAATTATTTACTATTATTATTACTATTATAAATATTATAAATCTGATTTGACTTAGTCGGCCGATTTTTTGAGAACAAGCAGGCTAATAAAAATTTCTTTATTAGGAAAATTTTTAGCTTTATTCGGGATAAACGCAGTTTTAAAAAACACGTGTGTATATTTTTCAGTCTATTTGTTTTTGTTATTATATATTAGTAATTTGATATCTCGACGGTTATATAAAAACAGAATTTAGAAAGCTTTGTTAAATCTGAAGAATGACAGTAAATTTTTTTTTTTTTGTTTATATTTTAGCTAATACAAAATGTGGAATTAAAAAAGAATTTTTATTTTTTGTTTTTAATATTTTTAAATTTTATATGTTAATATAAATTTTAATATATTTAGTGTCTCAAATCGATGCTTGCCTCAGATTAAAACTGGCCAAAGTTAAGGACAGGGTTAGCTGAATTTAAAAGATCTACATAGGCCGTAGTTATACCTCTGGTCAATCTGTGACATCTAGCTGCAAAGCATCGATACATAATTAAGATTTTTTGTTATATGTATGTTATGTAAACTTAAATTTTGCCTTTTTCAAAATGATCTTTAGACCATCAAATCAGATTTTACATTTATTAAAACAATAAATATATTTAAATGCATATGTCTTTAGACCATCAATGCATTTATTAAAACAATAAATATATGTACATAGTTAAATGCATATGTACTTTATATAACGCAACGAATATACAGTATATAACGTAACGAATATATAAACGTATTACTATAAGATTTTTATGCAAGATCGGAAAAACTGAAAAGTATATGTACAGTATATAGTTATTTAATTTTTTATTTATTTATGCCGCCGATTATAACTACGGTTTATGTAGATCTTTTTAAAATTAATCCTAACCTAACTTTAATCTGACACAACTGCGTCGATCTGAGGCACACAAATATATTTTATGCAGTAGTCAAAATAAAATAGGGAAATTTATAAATATACGATACAACAACAAAGTCATAAGAGTAACGAAAATTGACATTTTTGTTTTTTTTTTGTTTACAATAATTTTGTAAAAACGAGATAATTTATGTTATTTAAAGATTTACAGATAGTAATTAAATGGATTCGACAAAAATTTCAGAAAAGAAAAGGAATTCAAAAACAGTATAACAATTATTTCGGAATTATTTTTAATTTGTGATGTTTGTTCAAGATTTTTATCCTCCAATCTCCGAGTTCTTCGAATTGAAAGAAGATTGTGATTGGTGAACGGTATTAAATAAAGTACACATTAATTTTGCAAAATCTAAACTATCGAGGGTTATGAAAATTTCTTTTAGTTTTATACCTTGCAAATAACATTTTCCGAATTATTTACAAGAGTTTCAATTTTACCGACATGTCAAGAAAGTAAGGCAAGCATATTGATAACTTGAATCATAATTAATACACGAATTCAGGGTTGGGAAATTTGTATGTACTAGATAAAATTGATGTTGTACTTGTACTAAATTTTATATTAATTATTATAATGTACAATTGTACTATTTTCCCAACCTTGCACGAACTGTTATTTTCTATTTTTATTGTTTGAATTATTTTGTACAATAATTATATAATTTTCCCTTTATCTGGTGTAACAAAAGCTTTGCGAACTTCTGGCCAGATTTTGGGAGGTTTTTAAGTTTATTCTCGAGTTAACGTCATTTTGCTTAAACGAATAGAAAGGAATAAGGAGAACGGGAAGAATAATCTTATAAAATATTATTTTTATCTCAACATTACATTGATTTGAATTTTTAAACTGGTTTAAGAATACGTAATGTATAATAAACCAAATCACGCTTTTCGTCTGAAATTATTTTATCAACCAAAAAAATATAGCGACTAGATTTAACAGTATAATACTTAATTAATTTTGATTTTGTCACATTATAAATTTTATTATTACGCAATTGAAAATTAGAAAATTGGAATATTAATAGTTCTTGCACTTTGTACCAAGATGAATGATTTCTTAATAAATTTTTTCGTTATATGATAATTATTTTACGAAACCTCTTGATATCTTTAATAAAATTACTGATATTATGTATCTTTTTTTTTATTTTTATTAGAAATCAACTCTCCAAGGATTTGTTTTAATTAAAAAAATTTGATTATATTTAAACGAAACCACTATTGCTTAATTAATAAAATTAATAAAAAAAATGTTCATCTGAAAATATTTTATTGTGAAAATAAACGGTGATATAAAAAATAATTTTTATCACATTTCCGACAACTTTCATTTAGATTAGATAAATAAGGATGGGTGGAGGCATGACCATCAGTTACCCTAGGCAAAACCTGGGCAACGATGAGTCATCTGGTGTTTGGCTTGAGGCAGTTCAATCAATGTAGGATTATTAATACAATTAATTTATCAATGAAATTCATTTGGGCATACTCCCATTAAAAAAAATTATATCACAAGAGTGCATAATTTCGTTGTTTATTTTATGCTATTTTTAAGAATGTTGCAATTGCAAGAATATAGCACCAAAAATAAAGTATACTGCATTATTTATATTTAATGGATTTTTTTGGACATGTGACATATGTTAAAAAATAAATAATGTAATGTTTTAGAAAAGTGCATAATATTATTTATTATTATACAGTATATCATTTATATTTATTTATTTATTTTAGTGATTTATCAAAGGAATGAATTTCCACTTGACTAGCCGTTGTCAATTGTTTCTACTTAATTTGGCAATTTTGTGGAATTGAAATCAAATTTAGACATATCAATGATCTCTAAAAAATATTATGTAATATGCATAATAATTATGTTTGGAGTTTAAATATTTTACTTATATTTACTACATAGAAAATTTCATTATATTTTATATCTTAATTTCTTATAACGGTTACAATTTGAAAAATAATCTTTTTTAATGCGAACGTTATCTTTTGGTCAAAATGGTAATTGTTTTGTAAGTTAAAATCAAATCTTCAGAAAAATGATTCATTATTTCATCTTCATTCATAGTCAGACAAGTCAGGCATTCATTTTTAAAATTATCTGATACGATTGGTTGGTTTTGTTGGTCAGTGTTTTGGTCTGTACTTGAAGGTGGAAGATTAAAACAGGTGGAATCTAGAGAGTTTTGTGGAGGATTAGCATCTAAAAATTTTTGGTTCCGATTAAGGGGCGAAGAAAAATTTTGATTCTTATTAAGTGGAGGATTAGAGGTATCTAAAGGGACGTGATTATCATTTGTATTATATACTTTATTGCTGTGAATGAAACAAAGAGGTCTCTTTTCTTTATATGTTTTTTTTACTTCTTCCGCCATCTGTCTGTAGTAAATTTTTACTTCTTCTGGCTCATTCTTCCATGAATTTCTAGCAAATTTAGAAACATCTTTAAGTTTAAGATTATACTTTGCAACTATAAGATTATATTCTATTCGATAAATCATAAATGGATTCATAGTTTTATTGCACTTGATTCCATTTTTTAAATGAATGTGTATGATTTCATCTATACTAATTGATGGGGGAAATGGGACAACTATGCTTGCAATGTTTATGTGATTAATATTAAGTGACATATTAACTGACATGTTAACTGAAATCGTAATTTTTATCAAGAAGGGAGTTATTTATGTTTCACTCTCAAAATTAATTTATAATAATGTTTAATACACAGATTCTAAGAGTAGCTAAGAGTAAAAGAATCGCAAAACTAAAAACTGATGTCTTTATGTGCAATCAAATCAAGAAAAAGAATATTCAATGTTGAACTGTTAAGTAATTAATTTTTAATAATAATGCCGTATGCTTGAAAAATTTGGGTTTAAATATTTTTTGAAAACTTGGCGCCCGACATTCGCTTTTCTTAATTTGATCTCTTTGTGTCAGGGTAACACTGTAGCTCGCGTGGTCATTGTTCATTATGAATAAGCTTATAAATAAATATAAAAATAACTCGCGTCATATTTTTTAAAATAAGGGATTTATGCTTACAAATATAAATGAACTAAATGTGGAACAAGATCATGTGTACTAAAAATTTCTCATTGGCGCGTGCATTCCTCGAATGGTTTAGCCACCTTATTGTGGCTGTTTTTATTTTAGTATTCTAACTAATCAATTTACTGCGCATTATTAAGAATAATCGTGGTGGCGAATACGTTTACTTCATAACTCAAAAATCGATTGAAGAATTTCTGTGGTATAAATTCTAAATTTTCAATTTTTACATAAGTACAAGCTTTGGGGTGAAAGTCTGCAAATTTTTATCCACCGAGTCCTAGCTTCTCCTTAAAGAATGAAAGGATCAGATTAAAGTAACTAATTTATTTCTGTTATTTTTATTTTTGGAGTGGGTATCTGAATTTGAAGATTTTCACTTTGGACAAGAAGCTCTCGGGCTTACATTTCTCCCCTTATTGAAAACTAGATACTAATTAAATTATGCTTAAAATAAGAAAAATAAATGACATGACGTGACTTTACAAAATCTTTGTAAAACTAAAAAAATCTCGGAATATTTTAAAATATTACAACAGTTGAGTCGATTTTAATGTACGATGAGAAGAATATATAATAATAATACATTCTAAAACAATCGAATATAAGAAATATAAATAAGATATAAGTTCCAAGTTTATTTTGTGGCTTAGTTTTCCCTTTTTGTATGATCATTTATAAAATAAAATTTTTAATTATTATTGCCATTTTTTGACCGTTAGTTTTTTTGGGGCTGTCTGCCATTTATGTTATGACAGATCATCAATATTGTTTTTTGAAATAAATTAGTTTTTTTGCTGGTTTTTTTTTTGTCGTTTGACGGGTAAATTCGAACTATGCATTTTTGTTTTTTAGCGATTCTGGTTGTAGGATAGATCTTTGTAAGGTTAGATTTCTTGCTAAATATTTCATATTATATTGTGCTAATTTTTTTTTTTGTATCTTTAATTTCCTTTTTTTTGACTGCTTTTGATAACTTCAGTAATGAATCGATGGATGGGTAATTTTTTTTCAGCATTGTTAATAAAGTTCTTTTTATTTAGGATTATCCTTATTTTGAGTTATCAACCTGTTAGTTTTTTTTTTGAACAGTTCAAGGATCACCGGCATGTTTGAGGTTATTGAGAGTGATGCAGATGTTTTTGTGTTTGGTTTTTGAGTTGTGCTAGTGTGAGATCTTGCTGTGATATAGTTATTTGTGGTGACGTTTTTATGGATTCGAACTTTTGGAGGTAATGCTGTGAGGAGGATGTTTATAGAAGATTCTCTTTTCTGAGTGAACAAGAAAAATGGTTTCATCGATCGACATGATCTGTACTGGAGAAGAAATTTTAGAATTTGTCAATGTAGTCTTTTTTTTTTGTTTGGGACTGTAAATTTTATTGTCTTATTCAAGATAATTGAAAGGGTGAACAAATTTTATAATTTTATTGTGAAATGAATTTTATTAACAAAACAAAATTTATTACAAATAATTTTTATTGATTAAAAGAAAAAAAGAGATGGTAAAAAATTTAATAGGATTGTAAGAGTATAACTTAAACTCTTATGTAAGTGTATGTAATGTTAAATACTATCTCAGAGTTTGAATCAATAGAATGTAATTTATTTATTATGCAATTTGAAATTACTATATACTAGGAAATGGTAAACCATTGTAGTCTGAAGCACCATTTTAAAAAATAAAAAAATTACATTTGATATTTTAAATATAAAATATCAAAAAACGTAATTTTTATTGTCATGCGTTCTTTACCTATAACAATTCAATCGTTATCTAAAAAAATCGGACAGACATCCTTTTCATAATTACATTTTTGATATTTTTATTTTAAAAAATTTCAAGAACGTTATATTTAAATATTAAAAATGTATTTTTTGCTTTACCCTACGTGTCCATTAAATGTCTTACGTTACGCTCCAGACAATAATATTTTCATAAATTAATATCTATGAATTGGTAAGTATATGAAAAATAAATACTGTTACAAGAATGCTAGACCCTCATTTTTCAAATAATATATTTGATAACACATGGCATGTTGAGTCTGGTGCTAATACTGTTAAATATTAGAGATAATATAATTAGTTCTGTTGATCATGGATTTTTTTATTAATGGTATAACGAAACCTATTTCGTTACACTAGTCAAATACAAAAGTATCACTGTACCAAATGGTGATTCCTATATTATAGATCAGTTAAAAATCACTAAAAATCGACCGTCCTATTTCATCCTCATCCTATATTATAAATTAGCCAAAATCAGAATTCCTTTTCGGTACAGCAATTCTTTTGTATTTGACCTGTGTTAGATACTGTATGTCCTGAATGATAGTTAATTATTCAATATGACTGAAGACTGGATACATCTTCATACTGACAAATAATTCTAATTTGTATGTGTGATAGATAATTTTTTCACAATTTCATATGGTCCAACATATTTTGAAAATACTTTGTTGACAATATTACTCAATCTCCTTTATTAAATTCTTTGTGATAATGATATTTATTTGCATGATTAGTTTGTTTTTCTTGTACTATAATTAGATTATTGTTTCCCATTGTTCTAGAAATTTATTTGTAGAAGCTATATTTGTAGGTTGCTTTGTTGAGTTATAAAATTTTTCTTTACAAATTCAAGATTGGTAATAGGAAATTATGTCATTTTGAACTAGATCTAATAATAGATTTTCCTATAATTAATATTATTAATATTATTAAAATGGATTAATAGTTTAATATAAATCTAAATTTTACCAGTTTTATCAGTTTAAGATTGTGATATACAATATTAGTTAGGTGTTGGTGAAAATAATTAACTCCTTGAATAAGCTGTTTAAAAATCTGTAAGATTCTATTTCTTTCAAGTAACAATTTCAAATAATGTAATTGATAAGTTCACACAATACTCTTTGGATTGTAAATCCATGCAATTTAATGTACTTTCACACTCTCCAATAAATTGTAACAAATCTACTAATTCATTAATTATTGGAAAAATAAATATTAACAAATATTTATTAATCAAGACTTGTTAAATTAAATTAATTAACAAGAACTAGTTTTCTTCTTTATTATCTTATGCCTTTATATATAAATATATAGTAATACATGTAAATAATTAATAAAATATCTTAGGTTCATAGAATCAGATATGAAAAAGACAACTCAATTAAATAAGAATATAAAAAGAAATAAAATAAAATAGGACAAATAAAAAATACATGTGAATTGATAAATGATAATATAAATAGAAATAATATATAATTCATATATACTAATTTGAGTAGATCTAGAGAGTAGATCTAGATTAATGATTATCAGGTCATTATAATTTGTCTACCATATATAATCAGTAATCAAAATAAAATAAAATAAAATAAAGAGAAAAATAAAATTAAATTAAAAACTGCATAAAATCCTATATAGTTATTATATTATAATAAAGTGTAAGACAAAACTATTACATTCTTTCCTGTTTAATAATGAAACATTCTTATTTCATGAAATTCTATTAAAATTTTGTTACAGTTAATTAGACTTTCCTTTGATTTCCATGTTGTATCATACAATTGGTAACCTTTCCATTGTATTAGATAGTAGAATTTCTGTTGTATATACTTGATATCTACAATATTTTCTACTTCATATTCTTCAGCAGGTTGGTTATTTTGTCAATAATAATTTCAGTGGAGGAGGTAATTTATGATTAAAGTCAATAATTTCTTAATATAGTTTTAGTAGTGAAATGTGAAAGATGATATGAGCTTCTTTTTAGATCAATTTCTATTAATTTCATCCATAGTATTATCTGTAACAACATCACTTTCATTCCTGTTTTGTACTCTTTATATTGTGATATTGGGTTACATATTTAATTTGTCTTTCTTGTACCTTCATTAATGCATCCTTTATATTGTCATATCTACTTATAAACATGGGTCTGATTTACTATAATTTCATGAGGATCACTAAGATCAACTTGACTTAAACTATTTATTGAAGACTTTTAAGAGAATATTACAAGATGAATCCTTTATTGTAAAAGGGTTTTAGTACATCAAACCAACTTGTCCACTTGATAAGATATATATGTTAAAACTGGTTGAAAACTTAAAAATTCTATATACATATTGGATACCAGATAAGTGTAGTATTTGTCTTCAATATATATAAAATATATTTTTTACACTTATTGGGTATTCAATATATGTCTGATATTAGGAATGAATACTACACTTATCTGATATCCAATGTGTGTAGGATTTTTAAATTTCAACTAGTGAAAAAAGATGTGAGAGTTTAAACAATTTATTACAAAGAGTTTTACATAACAAGTTAATGAATTAACAGATTGATATTAAAATTCAATGAGATATAACTTTATTAAAAAATAAATAATAAAATAAATATAAAATACAAGATATAATAAATAGAGATTAAATATTAAGAAATTATGAAAATAAGTATAAGAAGATATATTATTATATTGATTACTTTTAAATCTTTAAACCTGTCCTGCTTTTAAAGTTAAGAGAGCTCATTTTATATTTCTCTGATTTGCTGTACTACATGATCTACTAATTTATTTTTATACTAATTTTAGCAGGAGGTAATTAACCTGGTGATCTACCTATTATATACAAACATCTATATGACCTACTTAAATCTACTAATTATAGTATATTGCAAAAAAAAACTGGAATTGAAAATCACACAATTACAAATCAATAACTAATTAAAATCACATGAAATTTATATTATTGGTAACTCAATAATAGATATTTTATTAATTAAAAAATTAATATATTATTTGATTGTCATTTTCTTTAATTATATACTCACAACGTCACCTTATTAATTTTACTAAATTAATTAGAAACAAATTAGGAATATTGTTCCATGCTTCGATCATATACTGTTCTAATTCACCAATATTATTTGGCATACACTTTTTGATGTTCCTCTTGATAATCACCTATCTGAACTATTAAATAGTCAATCTATAATTTTGGGAACATTTTTAAAAAGAAAAGCTGTGGCAAGATGACTCGTATGCTTTGGGTTGTTGTCTTGTTTATAGATACTATCCAAATTCAAAATACTAAATCCCAAATTTCAAATTCAAAATTACTAATTGTCAAAATCCCAAATTCTAAATTATACCAAATTCCAAATCTTAAATACTATGAAAACTGAATTTTGGCAGCCAAAATACCAAAATAATTTGGGATTTGGGTGACATATATAGTATTGTTACCACTGAAACCAATTACCAAGCATCTCCTTAACCTCAGGAATATGTTCACAAAGAATTTCAACAAAAAATTGTGCATTTATTATTTCCTTAAAACAAAATAAATTGGTTTTTCTTTTTATAGAAAATCTACCCATGCCATAATTTTTGTTCTGTCTTTTGGAAGACAACAGATCGGTCGTGTTTCCTTATATTAAAGTTCTATTGTATTCTGGAAGAGCTGAAATATTGTCTTGTCTGAAAAAAAGTTTTATTTCAATTGTCATTAATATGTTTATTTGCCTATTCTATACACTTTTTTTTGTAAACGTCTGTGAGTATAGGGGTTCTTAGTGAAAGGTTTTTTAAATATCCAGCCTTTGCTAAATGCCTTAAGACAATACTATGAGACACGTTGACATCTATTTTTATTAGTTTTGTTACTAATGTTCTAGTTAAAAGGGAAGAATCTTTACGAATATATTGACCAAATGCTCATGACACATGTGTGGTAATTTTTTTTGGCTGACCGTTACCCCAAACATGATCTACTGCTCCAGTTTTTTTGAGTTTTTTAATGTTATTATAAATAGTAGAAAGGGAAATATTTGTTCTGATATATAATTTTTTATGTCATATATACCTTCATTTCACAGGTATAATAGAGTTTCATGTTGACCTTTTTTTTAAACACTGACATATGCCTAGCCAAAATAAACAAAAGTCAAAGTCTAAAGGTAGAATTGAAGGTGTTACAAAAATAGTTGAGATCTTGTAATCAATTGGTTAAAAGGAATTGAAAATCTAATCAAAATTAAGTATGTTGGTTTAATTTTAACCATGTGATAAATTTTCCAGTTTTTTTTGAAACACACTGTATATCTAACTAATAAACATATATATAAAATAATAAAAATAAATAAAAATAATAAGTGATAATAGATAATAAAATAAGTTCCACAACATGTTGAATGTTGATTTTCCAAGTAAGATATAAATTTTCAGTAGTATTAACATTTGTGATTATTTCAGAACTTAAGTCCAAAGGGATTAAAGGATGTTGTCCATTATCAAGTTCAAATGATATCTTTTAGGTAGAGAATTGTTGTGCATTGTTATATGCAAATTCAGCAGAAGGTAAAAATTCATCCCATTGATTTTGGTAATATGTAACATAGACTTTTAACATTTCTTCAAGGGTGCAGTTCATTCTTTCTGTCTATTCATCAGTTTGAGGGTGAAAAGCAGTGGATATTAATAGTTTAATATTCAATAATTTAAATTGAACTTGTCAGAATTTATATCAAAAGACAATTTTACTACTCCTGGAGTTGTTAGATTAGTTGTGCAAGATATAAAATAACTTTGTTTTAACAAGTGATTTGGTTAATAAAAACTGTAATAACCCCATAACTTCATAGATTTTTAGATAAGTGGACAATAAAATCCATAGTGATTTGTTTCCATCTTTTGATATTATAGAAAAGAGATAATATCCTTTTAGCTCAAGTTTGTTTTAAGTTTATGAGAAAAAAAAAATAAATACCATTATCCTTGCTTATTCACATTATACAAATTCAAATACAAATTCCAATCCTTGTTGGTTGAAATATTTTTAAAATAATGTTTAATTTGAAAAGCATTAAATAATAATCAACTAATATGACATCATTCCTAAATAATAATTAACATTGTTTCTATAGTTTCAAATTCCAAATTCCAAATGTTTTTAATAATCTGGATAACATGTATATTCCTGCTGTCCTGTCTTCTCATCAACAAATAACATTCTGAAGTTAAGATTTTGTAGTTAATGGAGAGTTAAATTATAATAAAACATCCATCATCTGTCATTCTAACCATCAAAAAGTTTCAGATATTTGCTCATTAAATATTTTGCAACAAATCCTTTAAGTTTTTCGTCAGTTGGATATATATTTTTTGAAAATAGTTTTAATTGCAATTTTTCCAACAATTTTCTTTTTGTGTCTAAAGTATTCTTAAAAATATAAATATTCCAGGATAAGTTTTTCTGGAATTTTTTGTATGTAGTCATGTTAATACTGGTGACTTTTGTTAAAATAAAGGGTGTAAAAAAAAATAAGCATCTATTTATTGAAGAATTTAATTATTTTTATTAGATTCAAAAAAAAAAAAAAGAAATTTCAAAACCAGGTTGTGATTTTTCAACTGCCCCTTACATTATACGTGTTACCTAAATTATTTTCAAAATTTCAATCAAAGATATTTGTATCCAAACCATTAACTATTCTAATAACTTCATAATAATTTGGGCAATGTGTATACATTACATTTCTATTTTCACCTGAAAACTCCCTTTAAATTTTCTTATTTAAAAGCAAAAAAAAATTATTTTCTGAAAAAAAATCCCATAAGAAATAACAAATTGATAATCTATATTTTTTTGTGATTTACAAGTTAGAATTTATAAGATAATCTATTTTTTTGTAATTTACAAGTTAGAATTACAAGAAAGATAATCTATATTTTTTGTAATTTACAAGTTAGAATTACAAGAAAGATGATCTATATTTTTTGTAATTTACAAGTTAAAATTTATAAGAAAGATAATCTATATTTCTCGTAATTTACAAGTTAGAATTAATAATCCAAAAAATTGTGATATGGTAAAAAACGGACCAAGATTAAAACTTACAATTTATTTTAGACATTTTTTTTTTAAAAAAAAATGAATAATTAAAATAATTACTTATTGATCTTTGTTAATTGAATATACTAAACTCTTTAAAATATGTTGTCAATTTTTTCATATTTAATTAAAAAAAATATTACTGAAATGAAAAATAAATTTTTTATATAAATAGACCAAAAAAAAACGATCGTAATACTTTTATATTCATGTGCATATAATGAATTTAATAATTAGAGCGAGAGAAATTCTTAGTTTTAACCTGCAACAACCAATATTTTGAGGTCCTTTTATGTATTATTATTTTGTATAATACTAGGAAACGGAAACCGTTGTGTCCGGAGCAAACTGGAATGACCGTTATTGCGTAAGAATTGTTTTTTATTTTTTATTTTTTGATTAAAACAATGTTACGTGGCGTTACATTATTGTATTAAAAATACCACGTGGCAGTACAATAATCACATGTGTGGAAGTAAATTCTAATACATAAATAAATAAAAAAATAAAATCAATTAATAAAATCAATTAATTAATAAAAAAAGCTAATAAATACCATGGTCAATTTAGAAGACTTCTTTTAACTTTTACAGAATCTCTTCGGTTACCTTTTGCTTCTGATGATCTTTTGATATTTCTTAGTAAATTATTTGGAAAAAATTCAAAAGAATTTGGTGAAATTATTAATTGGAGATTTCAATTTAATCACCTCAGTATGAAAAAAAATTTTTTTTCCACCTTTTCTTAAAACTGCACATTAACAACAAAGTGATATTGGGTTCTATAATAATAATTAACAATTAATTTAAACTCAAAAAAACATGTATGTAAAAAAAAATTGTAGATACTATAAAATAATTATATTGTAAACTTCTTACCGTCTCAAAATAAAGAAACAAAATCAATTCTATTGATTATATCAATGATCTGATAAAGAAATCGCCTACATGGTTCCGTACAACGAAAAAAATTTCCATTACAAAATGTATTCGCCATGCACAAAAAACACAAGGATTAACATTACCTCCTATGTTGTGTTGCTTTAAGTCGATTACCATAATGTGGATCATCATTAAACATTACATCTGTCTGCAATTAAAGTTAAATTAAAATAACAAATGTTAATTGAATATGTAAGATTAAATGACATTTTCAATAGGGGATTTGTGAATGTAGACAAAGAATCAGCAGAACTCATTAATAATATTAAGAATTACTCAAATCGCATCCAAAAACTGCAATTTCCAACAATCAATAAAATATAGGTAAGCTTGAAAAATAAAAATAAAAATAAATCCAAAACGGTATTTACCAATATATTTCTATCCTGCTCCCCCTAATCCGTGACCACTAGTTATTTATTTAATATTTAATAGAAAATAAAAATATTATTTAAAATATTCTTCATATAAATATAATCTTTGTAGTAAAAAAAAAAATAAATAAATACGTATCTATAATTGTTATCCAAAAATAGACTTTACAACTATTTTATCCAGAAAACAAATTATTTAGCATGATATCTAAATTTTGGTTTCATTTTAGCATGCATACATTCCTATGTTAGAACTCATTTATCATACTGGATAAAAAATAATAAATTAAGCTGCATTACATATAATATACTGTATATTTAATTACGAAAAAAAACTAATATTAACCGGGGAGGGGAATTTCATACGACACGTAATGTGTTGAAAAATCTTAAATTATATAGTGAAGTTCTTAATTTGTTCTTGATTTGTTCTTAATTTAATGGTGACGTTATAACAAAAGAAAAAAGATTGAATAATTAAGTAAAAAAAAAAATAATTGAAATTTAGTTTTATTGTCTATCTCTTTTTTTTTCCCCATTTTTTGTTAAATTACGATAATTAATAAAAAAATAAAATAATTATAAAAATAATTATAAAAAATTATAAAAATTATAAAGATTATAAAAATTATAAAAATAATGTTCCTTATTTCATTAACAAATTTTGGAACAAGTAATCGTGTAGATGATAATAATCCTCCTATTTCTCTAGATGTCATTTCTTCTATTTTAATTCTAATAATTTTTAAGAATGATTCTTTTATGCATATCATATTTGATGATGGACTTATGAAATGTCTTTTCTGAATGAAGAATTGTTTAATAACTTTAAAACAATCATTACCATTTTAATGATTGATTGATTGAAAAGCTCTTATTTTTAACGTTCTTTATATATGTGTTGAACTCTTATACTCTTATCATTATATGTTACTATTTTAAAATTTTTATTTATGCTGTGCTGTTGATTTACATCTTATTTTAAATGTTCTTATCTATACGTTGAACTCTTATACTATATTATATGCTGTATATCGAATATTTACAGTATGTTAATGTTGTGTTAAGAATAATTATAAATTAGTTACATAATAAATAATATTTATCTTAATTTTTCGCACAGCATGATATTTACATACATTAATAATAATTCTAAGATTTATATTTACCCTTATTTATCAAACAAACAATTATTCTATATATCGGAATAAGTGCATGAATCTATTATTCCGTTATGTTATTTCCATTACACGGGAGATTATCCATGATTTATTTCTTGGGGTGTCAAATATTAAAAATTAATGGAATTGATAAGTTATAAAGACAAAATATAATTCATAAGTGATCATTTTGATCTATATTCAATACCGATTATCTGAATAATTGATATCAAGAGGATTTTGATTCATATTCAATAGGAAAGGATTAAAGTAAGTAGTAACCGAAGTGTTCTGGTTCATATTTTGAGAATTAGGGAAAGCAATTCCTAGAAAGCTTTGATCCATAGGAAGAGGATATAAGTAGGTAATATTTGGAGAATTTTGATTCGTATTTACAAATCGATGACTAGAATAAATAGGGGTAGGAAAATTGTAAGAATTATTGTAGGAAGTAGTCTGGTCCATATGAGAGTTTATGATAGGAGAGTTGGTTTCTTTATTATTATTATTATTATTATTACCAGCTAATTTGTTGTTATGAATAAAACAAAGAGAAGCTCTCTTTTTAAACCTTTTTTTTACATTTTCCGCCATGCGTCTATAATAATTTTTAATATCATTCGATTCCCTTTTCCACGATTCACTTGCCATTTTTGACGCATCATTCCTTGAAAGATAAGAATTTTGGAGCGCATAATTTTTTCGATAAATCATAAATGCGTTCATAGTTCTGTTACTATTCTTAAGTCCATTTTCTAAATGTATTTTTATGATTTCGTCCTCACTTATTACGCTTTTTAACATATTTAACTAAGTTATAATAAAAATAAATAATTTCTAATGTTTTTGATAATTTAATATGCAAGTTGAAAAGATAAATTAAAAAAATTAATGTTTTTTATATGTTTTATATGCGATCAAGGAAAAAATTATTTTTGTAAATCGCGATTTTAATATAATATAATGTAAATTTTAAATTAATTATTGAAAATAAGAGTTGTGTGAATGCGTTATATTTTTGTTATTTGGTGTAAAATTCGTGATTTTTGATAATAGTGATACTGTATGTTTTATTTTATAAAACCATGTTAGAGAATAATAATTTTGTAAAAGTCGCGATAGTTTGAACTTTGAAATAAAAGTAATGGTTTATGTATATGTTTAAATACTTTTTTTGAAGAGTTTTAATTAACCAAATTGCTTAATTTGAAAATATATATATTCACATAGTGGCGGTTTCGTAAGTACCAATGAAAATGAGATATTTGAAATGAATTACAACGTGGTCAAATTTTATCGTGTAAATTTAATTATTATACATTAAGAAGTATAAATGCATTGCGTTTTTTTAGCCTTATTTTATTTTGCGGCAGTGAAACGTTTTTCAGTTCGGAAGATGTTAAGATGGGTTTGTGTTAACTTTATTATGTCTGTGTACATGAATTACTACTCATTATCAATTCTCTGGTATAATCTAATATTATTATAAAGTACGCCGGTAAAAACCGGATATGATTATTTCGGATATGAAAGGAACAGATTGAGAACACAAAGAATATTTAGACCAAACTTTATCGCGCGTGAGATTTCTGCGAATTAGATTTATCTGAATTTTTGCAAATAAATAAGTAGGTATTTTTATTTTTATTTTTGGGGTATCTCAATTTGAAGATTTTTCAGATTTTCTCACTTTGATTTTTTGAATCGATGCGATGTATAATAGGTATTTATGGAGATTTTCGGGGTGGGAGGATCTATCTCCTGAAGCGATTTTAAATGAAGAATAAATAATATAATTCTCCTTCAATTTAATGTCATGACTCACATCACCCTCCATTCATAACGATATTCGGCGAATATTCGGTTAAAATTCCGGTTGGTTAATTAAAAAAGGAATCCGAAAAGAGGGTAGCACTTTTAATAGTTGCATAAAATCATGTGGATATTATATGACAAACAAATTTTATTTAGAAATATGAAAGGGCCTATTTATTTTATTCATTATACTAATTTCCCTTTTAAAAATAACCTTAAATTTTATTTACACAATCAATAAAGAAATTCATATGATATTTATTCATTATTTATTTAATTTAATTAATTTTTTAAATTAAATGCATAAAATGTCATTTATAAAATTCTAAACTAGCTATTGATTAATGTATGTAAGTATGTATGAACGCATTATGAGAAAAAAAAATGAAATTAAATGAAAACGAAAAAAGAAGAGTAAATGCAAAAATGCAAAATAGAATGAATACAATAGATGCAAATAAAATTACTGATGGGAACCTAAATAAAATCATAAAGATTAAAAATTAGCTGGAAGATATAAAATACTCAATAATAATGAAAAAAATAAAAAATATAAATATAACAATAATAATTTACCGATATTAGAGAATTTTCCTTCTTGATCATAATATTTCGAGACTCTGTTATAAGTATTTTGAATTACTTTAATTGGTAATCCAGATAAAGCAGCAGCTCGTAAAATTGTATCCCATTGAATAATTGGAGTTGTCGTCTTTAAATCATCATTATTATTATTATTATTATTATTATTTTTATTATTATTTTTATCATTATTTTTATTATTATTTTTATTATTATTTTTATTATTATTTTTATTATTATTTTTATTATTATTTTTATTATTATTTTTTTTATTATTGTTATCATCTTCCCCTTCATCATCATCATCATCTATGAGCATGGGATCATTTTCCGTGTCTTCAATAACTATCGGGTAATTTTTATTACCAGCACTTAAATCGTTATTTTTACAATAATTATTATTATTAAAAATTATATATTCATAATTTTTATAATCAAAAAATAAAATAAAAATAAAATAAAAAATAGTAATAATAAAATAAACTTACTTTTCTTTTTCGGTATTAGAATATAAATTTTCAGTGGTATTTAATATTTGCCTTAAAATATTCTTTACAGATTCATTTATTTGTTGTTTCTGAAGATTATCCTTATTTTGATTTTTATCTTTATCAATTAAATCAACGATCATTCCAACTTCCCGATCGAGAAGATGATGATCAATTTTATTATTATTACGTGAAGAATTGTTGTTCTGATAATTATTATCATACTCTGAATCTCCATGATATAAGAAATCGTAATCGTCGTCGTCGTAGTCGTCTTGATATAATGTAAATGCGACATTTGAGGAATTTGGGGTATTTAAAATATCTGATTCTTCTTCCATCAGAACATCTGAAACATACTTATTATTAATTCTTATAAAATAATAAATATTGTATGTTAATAATGTGATTCTTTAAAAGAAAATAAAATAAAAATAATAATAATAATAATAAAATTTACTCACTTTGAAATTTCCTTTAAATTTTCCGGCCATCCTATTTTATTAGAATTTCCAAAACAATTACTTAATAATTCTTCATCTTCTCCTTTTGAATATTTCAATAAACGTTTCCCAAATTCTCTATTAGATTGAATTTGAATTGGATCAATATATACCCGATTATTAATTTGATTATGTAATTCTTGTGGATGATCTTTTAAATAATTTTGAGGAAATTTAAAAGTGACGTTATTATTATTTTCATCCCGTTCCTTATTATTATTATTATTATTATTATCATCATCATCATCATCATCATCATTTTTATTATTTTTATTATTAACATTTTTAATTCTTAATAAATTAAATACTTGATCCCGTTTAGCTATTAATCTTGGATCACTCATTCTTTTCTTTTTATATTGATTATTGGGACTAAGATAATAATAACGATTTTCAATATGCGAGGGTTTTCTTGTTTTTAATATGTTATAAGACATCCATGACCAAAATAATTTTTTATTTTCTAAAAATGAATCAACATTTTCTTCAAGAAATTCTAATAACGTTATCATCTCTTCAACTGTCCACCATCTATTATTACTAAATCTAATGGGTTGATACCTTTTTTGTGGAGTGAATTCATCTTCATCACTTAGTGATGATTCATTATTAAAATCTTTTCCTGATTTACGATCTTCTATATTATCATCATCATCGTCTATAATTTCTATATCACGAACTTCTATATTACGATCTGATTGATTTTGATGTAAGGGAAGAGTTGATTGTCCATTGTTCTGATCACTAACTTCATATTCTACATCACCATTATCCTGTTCTTCTACTACTTCTTTTTCAATCTCTTCTTCTTCGTCGTCATCGTCTTCGTCTTCAATGTCAGTATGATTTTCTTGTAAATGAATTTCTTTCCGATTTTTAAAAATCTCCCTCATTCTTTTATAACACCATTCAAATTGATTTGGATATTTCAGAGGCTTATAATCTTTACACCTTTTTTTTTTATTATAATGATGATTATTATTATTATTATTATTATTGCGAGCTGGTTTTCTTCTAGCTTTCTTTAATTTTTTCAAATGTTCATATCTCAAATTTCTTTTATGATTTCGATACTTCGTAAGAATCGAACCAAATTTTCTACCTATTTCATGAATACTCCTACATGGAAAAACATGTTTATTCAAAAATCTATAAAGTCCATATTTATAATATAACCACTGTTCCATATTGGCTTCAATATAATCAAGGAGGATTTCAATATCTCGCCTTTTCCATCTTCCCACCTTTTTATTTTGAGTTAAAGAGTCTTTTGGTTTGTTAGTGGTAGTGGTGGTGGTGGTGGTGGTGGATGTTTCGGAATAACAATCTAAATCAATATCATTTCTATTGTCAGAATAACCTGACAGAAGGTTGGTGGAAACATATTTGTCGGGATGAACATATAAAGGAACCACTTTTCGTTTTTCATCGAGATAAATTGGAAAATTAATTTTATCTTCTTCTTCCATCGTTGTTATTATTACATAAAGAGGTTATCATTGTGTATATTTACTTATTGTTATCAGGTGAATTAATCACGTTGATCAACGAATCATTATCGACCATTTTGAGTAATATCATTCGTAAAAATAATTATACAATTGCAATAAATTATACTAGAAATTTATAAAAGGATGCCCCAATTTTTGAAAATTATCTTTTAAAATAATTCACAGTGAAAATTTTTTTGTTCTCTATATATACACATTATCATGCACAACTCGTGATGGTAATGATCAGGAACTAAATGAACTTGACGACTTTGGGTTGATCATTTGTCATTTTTTTTAAATGATTTATCGAAATTAATTAATTTATGCTTTCACAAAACTTTAAATCATTGACGATAAATGATTTGACCATTTAGGAAAATCATTTGGAGAAAAGACCTAAAGTGGTCAAGTCATTTGTTGAAAGATTCCAAAATGGTCAATTCATTTGTTGAAAGATTCCAAAATGGTCAAGTCATTTGTCGTTGCTAAATGAAAAACCCAAATAACTAGATCATTTGAACTTACCATTTTGTAACCTTATAACCTTAAGGTAATCCATTAAAGATCTTAGATTAAAAGCTAGCTAAAAAAAAAAAGGCTAAACTTGATATTTCTAATGTTCGTTTATATAATTGTATTAGCAATAAGAATTTGATAATTTTTTGAAGGAAAATTATTATTATATTATCTGAAACTCCTCTAGCAAAAGTATTTGTGGAATGATAAAATTCGAAAATAATTGCTAAAATTAAAATGCCAATTGTGGCACAATAAGTGAAACTGACAAAAAATAATAAATTTATTCTTAGATCGTTACCTATACTACATTCGATGGGTATTAAAGATAGGTGCCAACTATTTTATATGAAATTGTAACCAGAAATCATATCTACAACTTTAATTATTAACGTTTTTCTCAATACCTAATAAAAATTTTGACTTCACTTAGACGTGAATAAAAACGACCGAAATTTAATAAAATTTTAAAAAAATAAAAAAAATTCGAAAATAATTATATCGATC